AAGGAAACCATGTTGACCTAGGTATATATATATACTTAAACGAGAAATCGTGGGGTATTAGCTACACCTATATAGGTGTGATTATTCAAATTGAATGCTCCACAGGTGAAAGTATAGAAAAAACTTTATGTTCTATCAGCCAATATGAATTTTCATTGGGTTTATTCGTAATGAAAACATATAGGTATAAACATCACAACACATAGCATACCAGTAAATAATACTGCAATCTAGTAGTTTTGCATTATTTGACATAAAATCATGATTAAGTATTTCAAAATTGCAGGTCCATCATGTTTAGAATTCTAATTTTCACTACTCTTCTACACGGGTTCATCAGTGATCCAAGAACACCTAGGATATACAATGTACTGATAAGTTCCAAAAAAAACCTGGCCCCTAGTCAAGCATTGCCAGTATACGAACCCGTGCTCAGGACTACCTCCGTGGGGCTAGCATTTCCTCCATTATATTATTCTTCCCTGAACCTGGGTCAAGGCCACATAGGATACGTAAGTCAATAACGCATAATCTTAGGTATAGAAGTCTATGGTTTTCTCAAAGAGTATAGAGATATGATCAAAGTAGAATCCTTAAAGTTAGTATTGTAGAACTGTTTTCGTGAGGCTGATATGATGAACCATATATAGTATCTGAAACATATGTCCTTTTAGTGTAACTGCGGTCTACGGTTAACTCTATGTTATAGAGACTAAGAAACTACATTATTAACAAATTTACTCTGTTTATAATACATATACTTTGAGTTATGACAAAATTATCATTTACGAATAACAAAAGCACATGACAAATTCGAGGGACCTAAAAGATAAAAGTGAATTTCAGAAACCTCCATCATCATTTAGATCATGGAATTACGCACTTTTACATAGGTTAGGTTAGGTCAGCTCGAAAATCTGAGATTTTGAATCTGAATATATTATGCATAGCATAGATCTATGGCAATAGTAATACTAATTGTTCAACGAGCACGAAATGTCAAATGCTGTAAATCATACGAGTGGGAAATCAGCATACCGTGCGAGTTATGTGTAAACCATACTTTTTCTACGGCTTTAACAGAGATAAAAGCAAAATTTCTCATTTGTTCGGTTTCTATAGCCATCTGAGTTTCCCTTTAGTATCTATTAGATAGCTAGCTAGCTAGCTAGAGCTGTAATTGCTTGAAATTTGACATATCTCATGGGATATGAGTTTTTTTGAAATAATAACATAATATATGAAGTCATTGTGAGGTCAGATACGAACATAAAATTGATGACTTACAAAGTACCTCATTGCGATTTATCGAACACAGTCAAACAATATCAAGTTTGTATTATAGCCTTTTAGGAAAAATACTTTTCTGCAAATGTCTTCATTATAATGCATGTTTTTTTAAACAGGAAATGCTAAAGAGAGTAGACGTAAACCACAAAATATCTATACTTATATTCGATTCGCGTTTGATATTCTTCTTACGAATTTTATAAGCGCAGATCATTCCATTGAGTTGTTGATTGAAAACCTTAAAATATCTTGCTTTCAGGAACAAAGCTCGCCATCATTCAATAGAGAAGCGAATACTTTAGAAACACAGAATCAACCAAATATACCTCTAGAGAATGATAATCATGGATATGTAAGTGTAAGTATCACCTCTACCCTGATGATCTTGGGGGGTAAATTTCGAATCAGGTATAGAGGTATATGTACGTCTTCAAGATCTACACTTTTTACGTCTCAACGACGTACCGGAATGAAACCGTCTTGTATACGTCTGTGGAGCTGATATTTGATCTCCACAGATTGCACAGATATTATCATCCCAACATTGATTTTCAATATATAATCTCATCAGCATAAATTAGATCAATATCATTTCAAGATTTGAAAAATACCTACTTCTCTGTATATCAACCCAATATGAAATCAGGATGAGAATTCGCATTCGATCTCTATCTGATAGAGGTATTAATTCTTTCTCGGTATATATACAACATAAAACAACTATACTTTTATGGCTATATATAGGTATATATGCCACGACGAACATTTTATTACATCTATTGCACACACACACAAAAAATAAAAACTCTTCTGAAGTTCAGAATTTGCATTCCCTCTCAGATAAAAATATATATATGGTACTAAATATTCATCAACAGAAAACAACTACTCTTTCCTGGCTATTTTCCACGCCGAACATTGAATCATAGATCAATGGTCTTTTTAATCTATGATTGAATTATATTTGTTGACCATCCAATACAAGAGGATATGAAAATGAAAATCTTCTGAAATCGAGAATTACCACTATCTTTCAAATCGGAGAAATATATGAGTATATGATATATGTGTTTATAAGGATATATAAAAATATAACATACCAAATATATTCAGTAATGAAATGAGAATTGAAATGTACACTCGTATTCAGTGAACATGTCGCGGTTGAGCGGTATGAGCGCTGAGACCGCCCATGTGCGACATGTTCTCTGAAGACGACTGTACCTGTAGGAGAAGTATACTTGCACAAACTCTGATCTAATTATGGATTGACAAGTAAACTTCATTTTATTCTCATTCTGTGAATAGGCACTCAAGTATAGGTACATATTTTACAATGGGATGATGGGATTATCCGATGAAAATATCGCAGGGGAATCACAAAAACTACTAATTTCTTGTTTCAGCAAAATCAGGCACCAAATAGAAAGGGCTCAGCAAATCATATAATACCATTGCAGCCATCTCTTCCTTTTCCTTACTACACAACAAATTTCAACTATCCACCATTTCTTCCAAGACCTGATGACAAGTCAAAGGCAGAGCCTGTGAATTCCAGTGGACATGATTTGCCAGGGAGATTCGATAAAATATATGGCAACAGCAATTCTGAACAAACTGATGCTAATTTTAAGAGGAATCCTGAAATACCTGATGTTCCTCCACCTCCCCTGCCTGTTAGAACCAATTTTAATACTTAGCTGATATATTTACACTAGAATAATACAGGGTGTCCGCTAAAAGGAGGTCAATCCATTAACCTATTCTTCATTTTAGACCTTCATATTCGATATACAGGGTGTCAAAGTTGGAAATTGAAAACTGTTTTTTTTATAATTACTCGCGTATTTGATAAGATATTAATCTCAAAATTGGTATATTACTTCAGCACAAAGAGTTACATCGTGTGAATAAGAAATCAAAACAGAAAATAACTGTCAAATATTCATAATACAGGGGGTCAAAGTACACACTCACCCCAATTTTTTTTTTTCGTACGTGAGCTAATGACTTCAAATCTATTTTTCTTCAAGTGTTCAATCATTTTTGAGTATTTTTTGTCTCTTGTTAAATTTTGATAAAATCATTTGTTTTTAAGATAATTCGAAAAGTACTGTTTGATGTCTATGCGGCTTACGCTAATCTCAATACTCCTATTTTTATCGTCGAAATTGGAAGAGGGCGTAACTTTTTACGTACGAAAAGATGAATATGTAAATACCGGGTGCAAAGAGCGGATGTATTAAAATAGTTTTTACAGAAAAGAAATTGATAGAAATTCACCACGTCTAAATAAATTGCTCGATATGATCTCCAATTTTTTTAATACACATACGAGCCCTTTTAATTAAAGAAAATCTTAGCCTTTGGAAAATATGTGGCTTCAACCTGAAGTGCTCCCATGCTTGAAAGAGTCTGTCTCTTAAATAATTCTCGCTCATAATCGGAACCTTATACACAAAATCTTTCATGCATCCCCAGACTGAAAAGTCCAAGGGTGTGAGATCAGGGGAACGGGGTGGCCATTTAACAGGAGCATCTTGACCCCGACCAATCCAGCGATTAGGAAAGATTTCATTCAAATAATTTCGAACATTTACAGCAAGATGCGGAGGTGCACCGTCAAATTGAAACCACATATTTTCTCTCACCAGTAGGGGCAAATCATCTTTCTTTCAAAGGCTATATAAGATTTTCTTTAATTAAAAGGGCTTTTTTGTAATATTTATGTTAATACATTCGCTCTGAGCACCCGGTATTATTTCCATATTTACCTAGGAATATGTGAACATGAGATTAGCGTAAGCCGCATAGGCATTGAACAATAACCAGTACTTTTCAAATTATCTTGAAAACAAATAATTTTATCGAAATTGAACAAGAGACAATAAATACTCAAAAATGATTGAACACTTGAACAAAAATAGATTTGAAGTCATTAGCGCACGTACAAAAAAAATATGGGGGTAAATGTGTACTTGACCCCCAGTATTATGAATATTTGACAGTTATTTTCGGTTTTGTTTTCCTCACATGATGTAACCCTTTGTGCTGAAGTAATGTACGAATTTTGTGATTAATATCTTATTAAATACGCGAGTAATTATAAAAGAAACAGTTTTTAATTTCCAACTTTGACACCCTGTATATCGAATATGAAGGGCTAAAATGAAAAATGGTATCTAGAAACTCATATTGTTTTTGTTCAAGGAATATATGGATAATGGATTGACCTTCTTTTAGCGGACACCCTGTATATAGGTAATAAATGATTGAAATTTTCAGGAAGACAAGAGAAAAAGAAAAGAATAAAAAAACACCAAGTCCATCAATGTTTTAATATGATTTTTCATAGAAAGACTTGGTGTTTTTTATTGTTCTTCTTTAAATATAGATTAATGTACTATTTTCAAAATAAGAATTGAATTTTGGAAGTCTGCAAGTGATACATTTGGTTGGTACCTGACAATAAATGTACAAACAAATGATCATTTATACATTTTTTTTTAGATGACTTTCCCAATATTGATTTGAAATCAAGCTAGTTTCTTCCATTTTTGCCTAATAGAGTTCCCAAATTGCATACCAGATGTGTCCTAGAAACTCTCAACTTCAACATTTCAACTTTGTTAATTAAACAATATTTAGGAATCACTAAACTACTGAACCTAGTTTTTATGCTATTTCCAAATGAAATGATGAATCTCAAATGATCAACAAGTAATGTATTTGCAATTTTGTATGTATAATGTAGTAGAAAATAAATAGTTGAATTAGTATACAATATGATGAATTCCAATTTTGATATTGCTGTGATTTATATAACCCACATATTAACTTCCTCAGAGAACATGATAATCAGTATAGTACGGATAAGTAGTCTTAGTATCCTTGTGAATATTGAATGTTCATAGCAATGACTACTGATTGTTTAGAGGATTCTCAGGAGATTTTTGCCACTCTTTGAATATCATTTGCTTTAACTGTGATAAACGTAATGTTGGATTCTCTATCTTTAGTTCCTTGAGTCTTCTTTCCTCAAAAGCATTATAAGCTGCTTTCATTCTCTTTTCAGGATGTTTGTCACTATCTTCTTTGGTGCTGAAACAATAAAAACCATTAGGATGAGAGCAGCTAGAAACTACTCTGAAGTCAGGCACTTTTTGATTGAAGGAGAGTCAGAGAGCAATGACAATTTTATAGATGTTGTGACAATATCAGTGGTAGGCATAAAGTATCTACTCACCCAAGTAAAGTAATAGCTTCATCAACAGTTCTAGCTTCTTCTCCATCAATTTGAAGTCTATTAATATTTTCTTCTAAGGGAATGTCCAGATGAATTTCAATCTTATTTTCTGCTTTCACTAGATTCGGTACTTTTGCTGTAACTTTACTTTCAATTTGAGCTCTCGTTAACTTCACAGGTGGGGCAGGTTTGGATACTTTCTTTATGACTTCACTGGCTTCCTTTTCTAAGAGAGCTTTTGCTTCTGCTTTTCTTTGGAGTGCCTCAATTCTTTTTTTCTCTTCCGCATCCTATAATAGTGAAATGTAAAGTGAAACTAATATGAGGTATAATATATAATCGAGTATATAATCGAAGAAATCAAATTTGGTAGGTACCTTTTTCTGCTGCTTCTTCTGTACTTGTTTATCATTATCTGTCCAGTAAGCATCATCAATATCTTTTTGCTTTTTAGCTACAGCTTCGTCCTTAACTTGCTGTTTTCGTTCGCGGGCTGCAGCAGCTTTTGTATTTTCACTAGGAAATTTTTTCGGCATATTTATTTGGATAAATCAATAATAAACATCAAATAACAAAAAAAATAATTTGACAATGAATAAGTTCTGACTTTGACGTGACTGGTGTCAATGGATGGCACAAGGTTAGTATAGTATATTATGGTATTAAATGTCTACTAACCTTGGTCATGTCATGCATCAAATAGTCTGTTCGTTTGTTTTGCTGAACTTACTGAAGTTGCTTTTTTTTCCATATTTGTCTTTGTTTACGGCATGTTGTAAACAAAGAAAGTCATAGAAAAAAATCAAGTTCAGCAGTTAGAACAAGGACAAACGAACAGGCATGAGTCAGTGTTGTTCCTGGCTTTGATTTTTTCGTAATAGATTTCCTTGGGAAAAGGTAACAGATTTGCATCGAAAGGTAATAGACTCGAAAAATCTTACATTTGACATTCTGAATGTCATTCTTGTCAAGCCCTATGGCACAAATTAGATAGTTTTGACATGAATGATGCAGAAGTCATAGAGCAGAACATAATTATCCACTGAACACAAAAATAGATTTTTTTGGAAGGAAACATCATAATATTTAGGTGCTAACAGCAAATAGTAATAGATTCATGACAAATCGTAGTATCGTAACAATCTCTGTGACATAGTAATAGATCTAATACAAAAGTAACGACAAGCACAACACTGCTTGGAGTAATCAAGATTGATGAAACGTGGTGTTGGCCCTGAAGTGTCTTCAATCCTGACGTCATTTTTCCTGTCTCTAGGAGCCACAGAATTTATAGCGTTTTCCACTCGTCGCACTAGCTCGAACTTTTTCCGCACGCGCGTTTTGCGTGTTCCACTGAGAATTTCAAGAATTGATTTCCACTGGCTTTCAAGCTTAATCGATGCGGAGCGAGAAACAAAACACAAACAAAACCTTACATATTCCATAGATGAAACCATCTATGCATATTCGAAAGGGAAAATATCTTGAATTTCAATAACTGCATCATTGAAGTTTATCGCAATAGTTTCCGAAATGATGATTGAGATACACAAGTACCTACTTATTCGTAACTGAATAGCATATTAACCAAAAATTCTATATCACCTGAAAGTAATAGAAAGCTATCGAGATGTGCAGGTATTAAAAACATTCAATTGTTGATTTTTTTTATCGCTTGGAGCGCACGAAAGGGAATACCTATAATGCCAAATCACTATTGTCGACATTCAATTGAACTCTCGATTTCCATTCCACTGCTCTGTGCTGAAACCGCACTATTTGGGATATGTCAAACCTGTGGTTTGACCAGGCACATACGTTGACGTTCAGTAAAAGAAAATCCGAGCCAGCAGTGCCACTTGTGCGTGCTCTATGCTAGAGAAAATCGGCGAGGTGTTTATATTGGGATCAATGATCGGCGAGTGGAAAACGCTATTAGTTCTGTGCGTGGAGCAATATCAATGAACTCAATGTTAACACCTACATTGGGTTCAATGTGGGCAATATAAGCCCTTTCTTTTTGTTATGCCAAGCACAGGAACTGTACTTGGCTTTAAGCTCCGGTGATGATCTTAAATAGAATGGCTTTTAGGGAACAACATAGATTAACGGGGGAGTCGTTAATCTATGGGTCAGAAAGTCATTAGTGATATTGTTCATTTGGAAATTATGAAAATTATTCTTGAGAATGTCAGAATCAACTAGTTTTTCAGCTTCAGACAGTATTTTTATGAAATTTTCTGATGATGATGATGGACCCAGAAGGAAACATTCTAACATTGAAATTTATGTGAAGATAATACTGATTAAATTTCTTAGTATTTCCATCCATTTTGAAATTGTTTCAGTTCAAAACACGAACATAACATAGCCAATGATTATCAAATGCCGCCGAAAGTACTTGCAGAACCACGTTAAGAGGTTGATTTCAGGTCGGGGAATGTACTGGACCTCGAAGCCGTGCGTAAAAAGAACGGATGAACTCCGTTCCGTAGATTGAGGGCCACGTGTAGCTCTGGTGTAACTCTGGACGTCAAAAAGAAAATTGCTGTCGACACCCTTGATGTTCGTTATCCTCGATATGTTTACTGCGCAACCATAATTTCCATGTCACGCGCACCAGAGGCATTATTATTGGTTTTATCATGATTTCATCACTTGGATACAAAATATCCAGCGATCAGACATGAAACTCTATACGTCGGTATCACTTGTATATTTATTATTAGACTCCGTCTTTTGGGACTGAAACGTCTCGGATCACATAGAAGATGAAATGGAAATAACGTATATCTAACCTAACATCAGGCATGTTATATACTCTTCAGAATTTTAGCTATTCAGTGACTTGACCACGAATGACATTGACCCTGCTGAAGTTGATTTGTTCGGTTGTTCCCATAGTTGTCTCTATTCATGGCATGATATCAACAGAGGAAGTCATGGAAAAAAACAAGTTCAGCAGGTACAGCAAACACTGACGAACAGGCCTACAATATATCTTAATCACTCTTAACTCAAGATTCCGAACAGACCAGAAACATGACTCAATCATGTGAGATGTCATGAACGTGTGGAGTGTGAAATACAGTTTGCGAGTTCTTCCCAATCGAGTAGAAGAAGCGCTTCGCGCTTCAGGCCACTGACATACCTACTATCTAGACCAGCGGGTACTGGCAAAAGTGTTAAATAATACCACAAGAAAACGCAGCTATGTGACGTTCAGTGAATGGAGCACAGAACACAAATATTTTGATTCAGGCATTTCCTTTTGTTTGTGATTTGTGATGCTGGAGTACGGCGGCGCAGGCGTGTTCACTACTGAAAACATTATATTGACAAATTTTTGTTTGTGTGTGTCAATTAGGGTTAGAATTAATTTTTTTTGTAAAGTTATGGTTTTTTATAAATTATGACAATGGAACGAAAAATAAAACTGAAAACATTGAATAGTCATATAACATGTAAAATATGTAGAGGTTATCTTATAGATGCAACAACTGTTACAGAATGCTTGCATACTTGTAAGTATTACAACTATTTGATGAATTTATTCAATATGGAATGATCTTTCTAGTCTGCAAGAGTTGTTTAGTGAAACACTTGGAGGAAAACAACACTTGTCCAACATGCAATATTGTAATACACCAGTCACATCCATTACAATACATAAGTTTCGACAGGACAATGCAAGACATTGTTTACAAACTCGTGCCTGAACTACAGAAAAGTAAGTTATTCCAGATTGTAATTTTGTTGTTCCCACCTAGCATTATTTTTTGCAGACGAAATAAATCGTGAGAAAGAGTTCTATCGCCAAAGGGGAATACCAAATCCCAAAGATATTCCACTTACAAATGGGGAAGTACATGGGGATGAAAATCATGGGGATAACACTCATGCTGAGAGTGATTACCATAGACAAGATGAGCAAGTGAATGTTTGCTTGGAGTGTATTAGTTCAAATTTGAAGACATTGAAACGTAGATTCATCAGGTGCTCAGCTCAAGCAACTATACTTCATCTGAAAAAATTTGTTGCCAAGAAAGTGCTGAATGGAATGGAGAAATATCGTGATGTAAGTAGCTATCTTAGTTGTTTTTTATATGAGTTATATGAAGATTCCTAGTTGGCAGTGTTCTCATGTACCTTTCAGATTGACATTCTCTGTAATGATGAGCTATTGGGGAAAGACCACACATTGAAATTTGTGTATGTGACACGTTGGCGATTTCAAAATCCACCACTTACCTTACAGTATCGACCTAGAGTTGATATTTGAGTTCTCTGTTGATTAATCATAACTAGCAATTACTCCACTTCAAGTTGTTATTGCATCACTTGATATAGGTAATTTGCTCTCTTTGTTATTTATTTTTATTTAAAATTCAGTGTCTATTTTGTGTTGAATGAGTATTGTTTTTAAAATGTACATAAATTATACAATATGTATATATGTATGTCCTAATTTTAATAAGGTAAAGTAGTTTTTGCAATCATTGCTTGACTAGATTTATACTGAATTTAAATTCTCTAACTTTTGGAACCCAGTGAATTGAAGGGTTTTTGTGCAATAATTGATATGTTCAGCTGCCTCAGCTTATGATTCGAGGCTTGTGGATGTGAAAATCATAGAAAGCAGAATTTTCAATAATAATTATCTATCTGTATTCTGGCATAAATATTGGCAGAATTTCTGAACAATTCATGGTGTTTTACTCATTTTGATCAAATTGAATGCATATCATGAATATTAGAGAAGCAAATATTGTCAAAGTATGGATCAGAAATAACATAATTACAAGAATCTTCCTCTGAATGATGAATATTAGTGCTTCTCTTGGGGCTTCTACTAGATACCAACCAATTTCCTCCTGGTCAACATCTTTGGTTTATTCACACAGTCACAGTCAATGATCTTTTCATCTATTGGCCTTGAATTATGATTTTGAACACAATATGTGCAGCATTATACTTAACATGAAGTACAAATTTTTATAGCACTATATGTTTTGAGAATCCTCAAAGTCATGAGAAATTTGTCTCAATGATTTTTCTTGAAATGAATCATTATATTTCTTTTTATGTAGGACTATGCAAAAGTAAATCATGTGATAGGGTAAATTTTGTAACAATTAGGGAATAGGTTGTATAGAAACATAATGATACAACTGTTCAGTTGATATCTTGATTCAATATAAAATATGAATGGTCCTTGCTAACTCAGCATGTAGAAAACTATTGGGTTATTAATTACTGGTTTCCTATATTATTAAAAACATTAGCAATATGAAATGCTTCTGATTTTGACACTAGCAAGAATCATCCATTTTTTATTGATTTTTCAGAGATTCTGAAATTAACACAAGGATCACTCTTTTTTTCTTGAAATAAAGCATGTCTGGTGCAGTTTGAATTCTCAATTCTGCTTTGCTCATCCTCATAGTGATGACATGAAAAAATGTCTATAAACAAATTAATATTTACAAATAAAAACTGTATTATTAAATATGTCAGAGATTTCAGGAAGTATTCACAGATATCCATGAATAAGCATGGCTAGTTAATAACCTACTTCATTTTTTAAAATAATTATCTTTGCAATATTTGGAACAGTTGGTGTGCTGTTTGTTATCCCAATAATGTAATGATATGACCACACTTGAACCTCCAATATAATAATTAGTATTCAGCAGATTTGTATCATTATGTATATTTTGTAAAATAGACAAATTTGTACATATATAAACATGTAGATATGAACCTACATTTCAGAATTCAACCTTCACTTTCTACTTGTAGTTTTTTGTATTGTATATAAGAGCAAGTTAGAATAACCTCACTTTGTTATTTTGCAGCCAAGGATGATTGATTGGTGTTTATAATTATCATTGTATTCCTATCATTCTGTTCATGAGTGAAACATTTCTATACCCATCCTGAATTATATCAATTGTTAACTGAAATACATTGGCTAAGTTATGTATCACATAGAGGTTTCTACAGTCATTTTGCATTTAAAATTTCCTGGAATCAATCTAATATCTCTTGTCTAAAATTTTTTGTTGTATGTGTGTGTGAATTGATTATATTTTACTACAATGTTAGGAACATTGAACAGATAAAAAACGATAAGTCACCATACTTTCAAATGAGAAAGACAAGAATTGGTATGTATATACAGAGTGATCAATTCAAACGTTTCAGGTCAGAAAAAAACAAGTTTTTTGTAAATTTTAGTCAGAATGAATATAGGCATCCCATCACAAATGAAATATTTTCTGAAAAATTATACCTCAACCATTGTTGAGAAGTGTAATAGAGAATTCTCAATTTTATCTTTTCTGGAAAATATCACATCTGTTATTAAATTGCTGCAATTTTTAAAAAATCTCCAGTAATTTCAGTTTCTGCAAAAATCACACAGGACCATTTTTCTACAACGATGTTGATATTTTTCAAGGATGTTGAGAGGCAAGTGATAGCTTTTATTGTGTTTCTTATTCATTTCGTGATATTTCCAAAACAAAGATAACATTTGCACAAAGAGTAGTGTTTTTCAGAGAACATGTCGTGCTTGGCCGGTTCTAGCGCTACTATTGCATGAGTGATTTAAAGAGCTGATACCGTTCATGTTGTGACATGTTCTCTGAAGACGAATGTACCTACCTTCGATGCAGACGTGATGCATCAAGGAAAGGAACATCACTTCTGCAGTTTTGAAGAAATATATACCCTCAATACCATTTCGGATATGTTTCATACTAATAAAAATTACATTTCTATTTATTCCCAACATCTTATTGAATAATATACCAGGAATTCGGTCTGCTTGAATGGATGACTCATTACCTTTCTTCATTAATTCCACCATGATAAATGAAATTATCTAGTCATTACATTTTAGCAATACAACTAATGATCGTACGTAATATTTCAATCAGGTACCTACATTCGAATCATTTCAATTTTACTCAAAAAGTAAATATTTTTAAGGAATCCGATAGGTATATAACTATCATAAACATACCTTATTTCCGAGATACTTTATTATTTTTAGCTTCTAGACGTCAGATTTATCTCTAGTTTGATCAGTCTGTGTACATATTCTATTTTTTTCACCACTAGCTATAGAATTTACTATTATTTACCCGTTTTCAAGTCGTAAAGAGTGGCACTAAAATCTATTAGTTATTTATCAATAAAGACTTGTGATATGCTTTGACATTGACATTGGATCATATTTCAGTTACACAGAACTATAAAGATTGAAATATATTGCTAGTGGTGAAAAGAATTTAATATACATCTTGGTAGCAAAGAATATCATTAACACGGGACCTCATACTCCTAGACTAAAACCTCGGGATATAATGTTGGTCCCTGGGTGATAACGATATTCTTTACTACTTTCGTGTATTGTGACCCACATAATTTATATGTTTCGAAAATGATGAGATAATACTCACCAATATATTATTATGCCTGTCAATGATAATATGTTGATCAGTATAAAATAGATAACCCGCGTATTCACAAATACCTGTATAGAGTATATGACTAGAATATGTAAAAAGTTTTCTATTTCAACAGTACCTGAAATTTGTCACCAAATCATTCGTTCTTGATTATCAATTTAATTTAAATTTGATTCAATTGTGTCTGTTATTTTTTTGTCATGACTTTCCAAGAATTGAGTAATAAAATTCTTCTAGATGCTTACTGAAAATATTGATCCTTTTTTGGGGTGTTCTTAAGAAAGATATGATATACAGGGTGTCCACTTTATAATGAAGCATATGAATATCTTGGAAACTATCAAGTGGTAGGTAGTTTCACTCTACCGTACAGAACTGATAGTCGTCAATTTTCCATGTTATTTCATGACGGTCTATGCAAATATAATGAAGTTTCAAGACATTTTGTTTCTTTTCTTTCAATATAAAAGATTTTTGAGAACATAAAAACGGTTTGTTTTTGGACACCCTGTCCTGAGTACCGAATAAAATGTTCCTATTCATTATTTATTTCGCATATATTCATTTGAAAACCTGTCCAATCAGTCTGATTTTGACATAATTTTGTATAAAATATATAATGAAAGTGAATGTACTGTTGTTTTATTTGGCCTTTCCACCGATCGAGAATATAGTATCAATTCAAACCACGAATCCCAAAATTCTATGCAACTATCATGTATGAAAAAATTAACAATATCAATAATCAGTAACAAATATTCAATTCCTGTGAGTACGTATAGAAAAAAACATCATTACTTGATAAAATGAACATGAAACAGATGAAATGTACTCGCGCATTTTTTGCATCCTAATGAATATGTATTTTAATGTCCTCAATAATTAATTGCCCAGCGGAAATTATTACCCAAATGATTTAGGAAATTGGTTATTGAATAAAAGCCTTTTTGATAAAACGGTGTGATATGGAGATGAAGTTACCTATATATAATAATTAAATGATTTTTGCCAGTTTCATGGTTATAGTAATAATCGAATCATGTTCACAGTGAACGTAACATTTGTTTTATCAATCGGAGTGCTGGTGATGTCCGAAAACGATTTATTGGTAAATATTCATTGAAACCTCTGAAACCATCATTTCGATCTCGTATTCCATTTGTAACCATATCACTCAGTGAATTATGAATAAAATCCTGATAGACGGTTCCCGTGATATTTGAACAAGGTTAAATACCTAACAAAAATGTGCAATCCTGTAGATGAAGTGATTCTTTTTTTATGCCTACTGAAATCTGACATTGAAGGTTCATTTCAACTCCTATATAGTGCCAGAAACCAGAAGTGTTGCCAAGCAATGCAAACTTTCGCTTACGGCTACAGAAAAACTATTTACAGGATGTTAGTGAAGTAGTGCGACAAACTATACAGTGGGTGATTTTTTGTGATATTTCAGGAAATAAAGTTCACATAAACTTGTGTCCCACCTTGCTTAGTTTTTGTATTAATATTTCCATGAAAAATCTTTTTTTTATTCATTACTTGAATGACTATCAATTTCAATGAAACTTGGTGGTTTCCTTGATTGTACGAGCTTCTTTTGGTGTAATAAAGATTCGAAATAATATTCTCAGTTGGTTTAAGTTATTGATATTTACCCAGCAAACAATTTTGGTCGGCATTATGCTGGCCAGGACTGTGAACATTGATGGGCCAGTACCAAATAATAGATTCTGGCCGTTTTCAGACCCAGTACATGTCTGCCAGATACATTCAATTAAAAAAAAAAGACGACCTCCAAGGGATTCGAACCCCGGTCCTCCGGTATCACTTGGTAAAGTATATCCAATATCAATTGCAGAATATCCTGCACTGTGCGGCGTCGGCGTGTTTGAAGTTTCCTTTGAAGTGACTGCAGGTGCGGCACAAGATTCTGCAATTGTTTTTGGATAAACTATAACAAATCGAACTTATATTCCAACTGAGCTATTATATACACTTTATTTGCGGTTAACTTTCGAATAGGAATATTTCATTAATGATTATCATCATCATAACAGATATAAATACAAATGATCAACAAGAAAAAACTACCGAATTTCTGTCATATCTATTTTATGAGTCAGACGACTTGCCTATTTTTGTTTTGGCCGAACTTGACGACTTTCATGATAATATTCAAATGCAAAACCGCAGAATAAAACAGTGGTTGAGCCTAAAGAGACCACGCACATGAGCTGAAGGACCTCTCGTAAGACATAAGGCCAGAGTTGGTATGTACATACCTACATACATACATATACCAACGAAGTCCAATATATATACTTATACTTACCTCTCATTTAAATGCATAGAGGTGTTCTCGAGACACCCATTAAGATTACTCAATAACCTCAATGAGAATCATTTAATTAGTAATTGTGCGGCTTTGTCAGTCTTGTAAATCCTGTTTCTCAAAAACGAGGAAAGTTAGGTTACATATGTCCATGTGAACTTTATATCCCTAAATATTACAAAGAATCACCTCCTTGAAGTTTGTCCCAATTATTCAGTATAACACTAACACCCCTGTATTTAGTTCGCCTCATTATATTCGAAATTAAAGTGGGCTCGATATATATGCTATGTTTATTCATCCTAGCACATCAGGTAAGTATTTTTTTCCACTTCAAATAAAAAAAAATATATGATGAATACACAATGTTCTACAAAATAATTCCGAATTCTGAAACTTGATGTTCAAGGTGTTTCGATTTTGTCCGCATATATATTATTATGTTTGGTCTTTCATACTCACGAACCTACCTATATGTATAAGTAGGTATATAGAACGCTTATATAACTTTTTAGTTAGCAGTACCAGTGAAATGGGTTTCAATTTGAGACATTTTGAGGAAAAAAGGAAAAACATATTGTATATTTTTGTTTCAGCGACGACAAACCATAAGATTTTACGTCTTTGAAGGATGCCCTGACTACCCGAATACAACTGTCTATTATAGCTACGTTAAAATAAGGACAATAAGTCGTACGGTTTACCTAGATATGAAAATAAATATTAAAGAAGATATTAAGTCTGACAACACACAGGTGAATATATATACCTACACCATTTTCTAATTTTACTCAGAATCAAAAAAATCTTCTCACCAAGAATACCTACATAATAAACAAATTAGTAAGAAAAATAATCCATTTTCAGTTGCTTCTGGATATGAAACGATGTCAGAGTAGAGATGCGTTGGACTCATGTGAATCATATAAAACAATAAAATTAAATAACTTTTGCAATATTATAACTGGTGATAATAAACCTTGGTCACCTTTTCGAAGCCGTTTCACTCCTCCTCTTCCAGGATGTCCATTTAAAAAAGTAAGTATTGATTTCTACTCTATATAGATTGGGTCAAAAAAGCATCCCTGACAATAACTTATACTCTGCTGCTCTATACTACTAATTTTAGTAGCCTGGTGCCTGGTTGCGAACCAATTCCACCTGTAGCTACTCTGGCCTGACATTTCAATCTGTTTTTAACTCATGTTTTGGCGGATTCGCCGGTTTGGACATCGCATATTGTGATGCTTCTTCGTCGTTTATCTATGCTTCGGACTGTATATAATCAATGGCTTCGGGTAATTTGGGAGTAATAAGTTATTCTATCTCCAATTGGCATTACAACCCAAACAAAAAAAATTCTGTATGAACTTGATGTGTACCGGGTGCCTACGTAGCTGTATATTTAGGATATATAGGTTTCAATTGGTTTATTCAATATCGTAAGGTCTACAATTCAAAATTATTTTAATCTCGACAGGATGCTTTTTGGACGCGGGGCTACATGAATTACACTTCTTTGAATGGAACATAATTTGTATTTTTTCACATATATTCTGATATGACGTTATATCGTTCACACAACCATCATGTCTGATTTCTGCAATTCTTTTGCGGCGTTACAAAGTTGATAAGAATTATTTCGATTTGATTATAGTACATACATCAGATATTGATTGCTGATCTACGTTTTCACAATTTCCTTCCAAATTTATGGATGAACTCCACGAAGATAAAACCTTCGACTAGGTATCGCTTTAATGAAGTCATAATAATTGAGAGTTATCTTACACGGTGAATTATAACGAACTGCCTATGTTGACGTCTTGTTGACGTTTTGTTGACGTTTTAGAATGGTCATAACTTTGTTATTTCAAATGAAACACTCTATATATTTCAGTATAAATGTATTCTCAATTACATTCTCATCCATCTGATGATGTCATGTCAGCTCAAATATATTCAAAACTTTTTGACTCAAGCACAGCGTATCACCTATACCTACCTACCTACCTACCTACCTTTATTCATTCACCAAAATCAAAATTATGACTTAAAGTCCATTGTATTTACAATTCGCTTCTTGAAATCCATAAAATATCGCCTAATCTCTCTACAAAGGCTGATATACACCATCATGACATTAGGAATTCTGAACCGCGAATCCCTATAGATATGGGCATCCTATTTAACAAAAAAAGTTCTAGATTTCAATCTTCATAATGCACAGCCTCATCAAGTTAAAACAGTATAAGGATAAATGAGTTCCAACGAACAATCAAATCGTATCTGTCGAATAATAGTTTTTATTCTATGGGTGGATAACATTGAAAATGATTTAGGTGCGACCTTTTTCCTCTAAGAACATATACTCACCCATTATTTAATCATATTTGTTTTCAAACATTCATTATGTATTATGTTTCAACCTTAGTATACTTGTTTTTGTGTAATGGTGATATTTTATTATTTCAAAAATTTTATTTTATTTATGATATGATGCTATGAATATGATGTGTATGTATGTATGTGATATAGTCAAATGAACTAAATAGGTATCTATCTATCTATCTCTTGTCTATAATAAATGGTCTGTATTTCTTATGATATTAACCTTTTTCGTGAATTTTCTCTTCCATGCCATATACCTACTGAACTAAATGATCATTGATTATTTCTATAATTATCATTTAGTGGTCTGTCAATTAGGACATATAAGTATATTGAAATTGATAAACAGTATTCGGTCAAGTCTTTGATGAATTAGAAGAAAACACATCATTCTAGATATCTTTTCGTTGATATTATCGAAAGAATCGTAGTATCATTGAATATGATAATTTTGCGGTAATTGCTTCCATACGCTTGAAATAACTCGTTATCTGAATATTTGAAAACTACAAACTTTCGATGTGTGATACATAATATATCACATGGAAGATAATGCATTTCTACTTAAATACACAGAGTTTTCCGTTCGAAATATCGAAGTTATGATTATTCGACAAGGTCAATATTGGCTGTTCATTATAAATTACCCTGTACCATAACTCTCAATTAGGACTTTCAATGAGGCTACAGCCGTGCTCGCGCATAATTTTGGATACAACAAAAATCAGCATTAGGCATATTGAAATCAACATCTGTGTTTCATACTGTTTTTCGAAATGATTCTAATCAACTTTGCAACGCCGCAAAAAAGATGGAAAATGGGGAACATGATTGTGATGTAGACAAGATAACAACAAATCTAAATACATGGAAAAATGCAGGGTACTCCATTAAAAAAACAT